ACGACAGCCGCTCAGAACTGCAGTGACAGCACCGCTTGCATCGATACCAGATTTCAAATCAGTGCAAATTTTGCCGCTAAGAAAATTCGACTCCGCACACATTGCTCGGTAACGGTGCCAATTATAATGCGTGTAGCACACCTTCATTTCTGGTGACTCAGAACCCGTACTGGCATATGATGGGACTTCAGATGCTTCGCGCACCGCTATTCGACTAGACATTCGTTGGAGAGCTTGCCATTCCGATGCTTTGGTGAAAAACAAGCCAACCCTGTCTTCCGTACCCACTAACATTTTCCTGCATTCGATGTAGGCTGGAATCATATAGTTCATCTTCTGCACGACGTATTTTAATGCCCACCAACTGACGAGTGTTGATGACGTGAGATTGTCAATTCCGAAGCAAGATATGACATAACTAGCCCAATCCGGATCTGGGCCAATTCGTACTATGTGACGGAATGTAGCTTCATTAACCATCTTATTCACTACTATGTTGCACATTTCGTAGCCGTCCTGTTCATCGTTCAAAGCCCAGGTTATCCAGGATACACCTGCCACCGACTGCATCCATGCAGTTCCAATACATTGGAAAGCAGCTACAGCGGACACATTTTCATGCACTGCGGTTAAGTTAGAAAATTCAACAGCGGTGCCAGGCGCGATCAAGCCAACAAACCGAGCGACAAGCACGTCAGGCGATGCCTCATGGCAGTTACAACCGGCACCAGCGCCACAAAAGTTAAGAAGTGTCAATATGTCTTTGGTCCCACCGTCCGTAAGTTTGAAACTAATCCACGCTCCAGGGTGGAAGCCATGCGGATAGACGTTGTGAATATTAATATTTGTGATTGCATCTTGAATGTTCATATTAGGATCCTCCCACTTTTTGACATCGAAATTAACGTCAGGCAAGTTTGGCAAAAAATCTGACTTGAGGTGAATTGAATAAACTGGAAAAGCCTTAGCTGGATTAGATGCAAAACCCAGATCGAGATTTCTGGTGGTTTCAGCAACAAGATATATGGCTCTCTGTACGCTCGCCTCCGTGGCAGTATAGCGCATGAGGTACTGCCACGCAATAGGCCATAAGCTCCGAACATCATCGGCGGCTCCTCGAGTGCCTGCCTTTCGTCTCAGGATTTCGGTCACATCAACAGGGGACACCGCCTCTTCTGACGGCCGCCATATTGGTATTTTGATATCCGTGACATGTACTTCTCTCAAGTCGAGTCGAGAAGTCTGGTCTGCTAGCACCAACAAAATACGTGAAGCCCCACCCACGACAACATTCGTGGCTAACGGTTTGAATTTCACAACAATGTGCTCCGTGTTTGGGCTCGCACTGCATAGCTCCTTGTTGGGTTTTATTATGGCCCTGTACAAATGTAATCCGTTCCACAGCTGAGTCGTCACAAATGACAGAATATACAGCCAGACTGCCTGATTTTGAAGAAAACTTGACTCTATGGGAACTACGGCAATGTTGCCGCCGTTCCAGAAATTCAATTCCCAGCCTTCCGGAAGCTGGGGACAGCCGGTGTGCATGCTAACCCATGTGTCCAAAGGGACAGCGCATATGCTGATGGAAACGTCGTTGAACGGGCCTGGGTCTACAACCATCGGTTCCTGTTCTATCGATGCTACGTCACCGTCGCATGCCACTTTTGCCCATATAGGATCGGCTGCCAGGTGATGTGGTGCAACACATGCATCGGCGATTAGCAAAGCTCGAACCAGAGCCGCATCTTCCATCCAAGAACCGGTTTGCTCTGCCAACAGTCTGGGCAAAAGTGTCATACTGCCAATGTCTTTGTAGCCTGGGTTGATTAGACTTAAGCCATACATCTCCTCGTAAATATGCATTGGCGTGTACTTTGCTTTAGGTAATTCAGTGTAAGTAGGAGTCAGAACAGGTGGTCGATGAAGGCATTTAAGAAAGACGCAGGGCTGTATCAAAACATCGCGGGCCCAACTCCCTTTTGAACAACCATACCGACAGATCGGGTGCGCTTCAGATGTTTTTCGTGTGTGAACCTCGACGCCACAAATTTCCAATGCTGTTACGATGTGCTGCAAAGACAGCCTCCCGCTCCCAGCAGTATTCTGACAGATGCTGACTGACTGACAAATCGGGCCATTTAGGTCAAATGGAAGCACTGTGGGCGAATATTCACTTATTAGTCCGCTGAGAAAAGCCATTCCAGTACCGACCTCGAAAACCGGTGCTTCTTCCCTATCCCCACGCTCTGTTTTGCTCATCTCTGCTCGCAGCAGCTCTAAGATGTTTTTGGTGGTTGAGGAACCGCTGTTGGTTGACATTTCTGCTGCGGTTGTGTGTCTTCCTTACGCTTCTCCTTCTTCGACGATGCTCGAAACTGATTCCTTTTCTAAGGTTTCTTCAAACTTCTTCCGTACAGTCAACAATAAACTGCTATGCTGCTTCAGCATCTCCTTAAAATGCAATTTCTTTATTTAAACTTGCCATTTCTCTTATGTGCCACGTCAAAATTGCACAAACAGCACTAATGCATTGCCGCCCAATGTTACCGCTTTTAGAAACCTGGTGTCCAGCTATCTATACGACGATTTGGGCAATAACTAAAAACATAGCTCCGCCCGCAATTCACATTCGCTTGTGGGTTTGAGTGCGAGCTGCAGTCACACATAATCGCAACGGCTCAAGTTTTACTCGTTTCAGCCGCGCAATATGCACTCTTCTTTGAGCATTTTTGAGTTCAGAATCGGGCTGCGGTAGTACTGAGTTATTCGTTTACATAAACTTCTAAGTGTCGTTTTCAAGTATGCTAACTTCTCCTCGGCGACAATCCCGGAGGAGCAAATTTTCCCTCACAAGCTCAGCCCCTATTTCCAATTTCTATCCTCAAGCAGGGTCTCAACTCCTTTCCATACAATAACCTCCCTTCCCTTTCAGTTACTAACCCGAAATTCAAACCACCATCCCCACCCTCATCACCACTCCCCGCATCACCAGCTTTCTACCCCATCCCTCCAGTTTTTGCAGCTCGCTTCCACGGCCATCCCAGTTCCTGTGCAGAGTCGGAAATAGAGCGTGCCTTCACATCAGGGAGCAGCCAACCCCACCATGAACTTGGTGAACTTTCAAATACTGCCACATCCTCCATTACAGTACCGGGTTGATTCAGTGTTGAAAACACCAAAAGCTCTGCTGCGACACCGAAACGATAGCAGTTTAGAACTGCAAAGACAGCACCGCTGGCATCGACACCAGACTTCAAATCAGTGCAGTTAATGCTGCTAAGAAAATTCGATTCCGCACACATTGCCCGATAACGGTGCCAATTATAGTGCGTGTAGCACATAATCAGTTTTGATGATCGAGAACTCGTACTGGCGTACGATGGGACATCAGATGCTTCAAGCACCGCTATTCGACTAGACATTCGTTGGAGAGCCTGCCATTCTGATGAACTGTTGAAATACAGGCCAATTATGTTTTTCACACCCATTCGTCTTTGCCTGCGTTCGATGCGAGCTGGAATCATATAGTTCAACTTCTGCACGACGTATTTTAATGCCCACCAACTGATGAGTGTTGATGATGTACGACTGTCATCTCCGAAGCAAAATATGACATAATTAGCCCAGTTTGAACCAGGGACAACTCGTGCCACGTGATGCATTGTAGCTTCATTAATCATTTTGTCCACTATAGCATCGCAATGCGTGTAGCCATCCTGACGCCCTTTCAAAGCCCAAGCTGTCCAGGATGCACCGGCCGCCGATTGCATCCATGCAGTTCCGATACACTGCAAAGCGGCTACGGTGGACACATTTTCATGGACTGCCGATACATGTCCAAATCTAAAACTGGAGCCAGGCGCAATAAAACTAAGAAATCGAGCGATACGCATGTCGGGGGTCGCTTCATGGCAACTACAACTATAATCGCCACCACTGGTGCCAAGAAGTGTCAGTATGTCGCAAGTTCCATCGTCCTTAAGTTTGAAATTGAACCACATTTCAGGGTGAAAGCCATGCGGGTAGACGTTGTGAGCATTAATATTTGTAATTGCTTCTTGAATGTTCATATTAGGATCCTCCCAGACTTTGACATCGAAATTAACGTCAGGCAAGTTTGGCAAAAAACCCGACTTCAGGCGAATTGAATAAACTGGGAAAGCCATAGCTGGATTAGATGCAAAACCCAAATCGAGATTCCTGGTGGTCTCAGCAACAAGATATATGGCTCTCTGTACGCTTGCTTCCGTAGCAGTATAGCGCATAAGGTAATGCCATGCAAAAAGCCATAGGTTCCGAACATTATTGGCGGCTCCTCGAGTGCCTGCCATTCGTCTCAGGATTTCGGTCACATCAACAGGAGAGGTTGCCTCTTCTGACGGCCGCCATATTGGTATTTTAATATCCGTGATACGTGTTTCTCTCAACTTGAGTTGAGACGTCTGATCAGTTAGCACCAACAAAATACGTGTTGGTCCATCCACGACAACATTCGTAGCTAACGGTTTGAATTTCACAGCAATGTGCTCCGTCGTTGAACACGCGTTGCTTAACTTCTCGTTGGGTTTTATTATGGCCTTGTACAAGTGTAATCCGTTCCACAGCCGAGTTGTCACAAATGACAG